CTTGACACACCTGTATTCGATTTCTATTTAATTAAACTATAGTATTTTATTATGATTACTGATATGAATAACTGACATAGCAATATTATTGTGATTTTTGTGTCATTTTTCAAACGGATGTGCGGAATTTTATCGTACTTACTATGTTTTTTTTTTGTGATGGGAAAATCATCAAATGACAAGGCGGACTTATTAGTTATCTATTAATAAATTTATTTATAGGCAAGAGATAATAGCAGAATAAGCATAATTCAATAGTTTCTACTCACTTAATTCTCAAGTATCATCATATAAAAAAGAAGTATAATTTATAATATACCCTACGAACAAGCTCATACTAAGGTCTAACATTTTTATTTTCTTCACACGTATGGCTTATTAATTATACTCTCGTTTCTTTATCCCTTTTTGCATATAAACTATAATTTCTTAGTAACGCTAAAAGTGTATATATATGTAAGTATACGTATAGGTATGTAGTCATATTAACATTAACTATTTTTCAAAAAGTGTGGGAGACCATTATTCGGCACGAATGAAACCACGGTCTCGATCGAAGGAAATTTCCCCTTAAACTGACACGTCAGCTCATCATTGGATGTCTTCTAGCTATAAGGTAATGAAATATAGTATATAATACTAATACTATAGAGGCACAATTTGTAAGTTTGTATGTAAGGGGTAATCTTTGGAACCGCCGGTCGAATTGCCAAAATTCTTTAAATGATACATACTTAGATAGCTACAATGTTCTTGAGTACTATAGGGTATAAAACATCACGCTTTGATCAAATGGAGCAGCGGGTGAAACCGCGTAAGAATAGCTAGTAGAAGATAATTTAGATCATATAATGAACAACTCTCTCTCTCCTAAAGAGCTAGAAGATCATTTGAAAACCTGAACCGTAACAAAAAAAAATGGTTTTAAAAAAAAGTCTAACATAGACGTAATAAACCAATTGTCACTTTCCACTTGGATACACTTTATAGGTCAAACGAACAGACGGCGCACCTGATGGTAAGCAATCGGCCCCACATAAGAAAACCAACAACATCAAAGAGTTACAAGTGGATTACCTTTTGGGGTTTGAGGAATGGGGAATCTTAGGATTTTGGGCAAGATTGTAACCGTGGTTTCACGTCGGTTTTCTGTGAGGCCGTAGTATTAAGCCGGTCCAATCGTGCCAAAGCATTCTCCTACATATGGTTACGAAGAAAATAGATATAAACAAAGAGGAACTCGTATTGTATTTAAATGTGTATCTTCTCTATGTTATAGCTTGAAGCTTGTTACGAAGCATTAGTCGGTTGAATACATTCTATTCAAACAATATATCAAACTCCAGCATTGTGTAACTTCCACTGAAAGTATGAATGCACGATACGATGTTGGCGCCGCCAGCCCTGTCCGTACACACGTACGTAATGTAATGATTTATAAATTATTGTGAATACGTTTTGTTGTTAAACTTACACAAAGTATCTTTAATGATATATTTATGTACCTATGTATTTATTCATGTTATGTTAACTGGAAATTAAATATGGAATGAAAGTTAAAAGTTAAGTTAAGAGGGGAGAACCATGCTTCGGCACAAATGGGTCGGGTCGACCACGGCCTCACAGAAAACCGGCGTGAAACAACCACTCCGTTGTGTTTCGCCGTGTGAGTGAGTTTGCAGGAGGCTCAATCTTTGCCGTCCCCAATCCTAACATCTACATATTCCTAGTGCCCAAAAGGTGGGCAACGCACTCGTAACTTCTCCGTTGTTGCGAGTGTCCATGGGCGGCGCTGATTGCTTAACATCAGGAAATTTGTATGCTCGGCATATCACATAAAAAAGTTGCATATTGGAGAGATTCTTGCACGTATCAATGACATTATCTAGCTGCAGTTTAGTGCTTAACTGAAAACCATTGAGGATTCGACAGCATTCATATATACCTATATATAGAGCCAATTAATTTGATATCATATATCTCTATAATACTGGTTAGAACTCGGTTTGAGTCTTAGGACAAGTAGATTTACTGGTCTCTAAAGAATTTTTTACCCAATCGAACCCGATTCACGTAAGCATCCTTATAAAACTTCAGGTACGCACTAATCATTAACCAGAATATAAAATACTTACAAAACTACGTAAAATTTTATGTTAAAAATAGCTTTATAGTAAAGTAAAAAGCATAACGAGCTCGATTATAAGCGATGCCAGATATCACTAGTTTGTAATAACATGTTTACGAGTGTAATAGAACAAGTCCAGTGTAAACAAGTTTCAGGCTGATCTCCTGATGGATGAGTTTACTGTACCGGTTGCTTATTTTCGCCAACTAATTAAAATTTCGACGTCGCTGGTAAAGCGGCAATTACTGGCGAGATTGCGCGATACACTGCAAAGGGCCCGCTTAATAACTAATGCAGGCAACTTGAGAACCAGGGCTGCCACACGTTCTTGATGTATTTTATGAATATGTGACGTTATAACGTGTGCAAGGGTGTGTGAGTTACGGAAGAGATCAGAGATATTGTGCCCAAGTCGAGTATTTTATTGTTACAGTTACAGTAGTTTCTTGATTCTAAAATGTTCAATGGTATTGAACCAATAATAAAACATAACTATCTGTCTATGTTTTATACTTTGAGGGTAAACAGATCAACATCGTACTAATAGTATTGTAAATGTGAAAATTTGCAAGTGTATGGATGTATGTTTGTTATTCTTTCACGTAAAAACGGCTCGACCGATTTGGTTGAAATTTGGTATGTAAATACGTGATACTTTGAATTACCAGATAGGTTTCTTATCAAGATACAACACGGGCGAAGCTTAGGTTTGACAAATAAAGTGTAAGTAATATTAAATGTGTGACAAAATTAAATGTCTTTTCACAAATACATTTTTTCTCTTTCTCTTAAATAAAAAATTGACCTTCTGGAAAGAGGGTGGGGACGCTTTTGTCTTTCAATATAATTGAATACAAAGATTTAAACAAAGTCTTCTTGTAAAAATGAACTGCAACGAAACAATGTACAAACAGATTACAGAGTGTGTCTAAATAGGCTGTTTACGAGTTAAGTTACTTTGTCCCAAGGTGTTCATTGGATGGTAATCCGTGGTGTATGTGGTGATTATGCTCTGTAAGCTGCAATTAAGAGTCACTGTGGAAACGAGTTAGATAGCTCGCGGCTGACGATAACCGACCTGTCATTACTTATGCACGATGAGATGTGGTTTTTTAAACACCATCTATAATACTTTATAAACGTAGCACATTAGCTGACTTTGTTTCAAGGTATGAAAGGTAAAGATTTGAATTAAATGGAAGATTTCTTTTTTAATAATAGCTATACGTATCTGTTTGTTTACTTATTCTTTTCTAAGAAGTTTTTAATGGTTACAAAGAGGTTGAGCAGCTGTTCGACCTTTTTAGTTCTCGATACGCTGTCTTTAAGGTCTAGCTAGAGATTGGGACCATTGATACGCATTTTTTTTTATATAGCAAGTACGACAACAGGGCATGGTATTAATAAAAAAGATTGACTTTTAGACAGATGACACCATTCTAAAAGCATTTTGCTAGAAGATGCTATTCAACAAAAAATCAAACTAATTTTATAGCACACATAAAACTGTAGAAGAAAGACTTTAGAAAAGTTACGCCAACCCTGGTCTAGATTTTACCCCTATAGTTACATGTGATGGCTTATAGCATTCACTTCTAAAATTTATACTTAAAAAATAAAACTGCTGAAGTACATTTATTTATTTATTTATTACAAAGCCTTTAATATTGGTCCACAGCGGTATAAATTATAATTCTCACACGGCTACTGTTCTGAATATGTAATTAGGAGAAAGTATATTTGGCTGCAGTAGGGCAGCGACTCATCTGTATATACTTACATACCTACTATTATAGATTGGGTGCAATGCTAATACTTTTTCCATTTTTTAAATAATAGTCCCTAATAGTAATTATTTAGATAAAAATGGGAAAGGAGTACACCAACCGAAATTTTCTCAGCTAGGTATTTCTTTAAATACGACGTAGTTTAGTATTATAGTTAGTATTATACATATAAAACTTCCTCTTCAATCACTCTATTTATTTAAAAAACTCATCAAAATCCGTTGTGTAGCTTTAAAGACAACACTTTGTGTAATCCACAAATTGTTGTTTCGGGTCTGGGTGTCATGTGTATGTTTGTAAACGCACCCACGATACAGGAGAAAATCCTAGTATGGGGAAACGTTTTTCTTTCAAAAAAAAAACAGATTTAAGCATACATAGGGACATAGGGACAGAGAAAGTGACTTTATTTTATAATATGTAGTGATGTATCAATTCTGATTAGTATCGATGTCCACTATACAGTTTATTATATCATAGTATACTTTATTGTAATGATGAAGATAACATAAATCAATGGTCAATCAAAGCGATTAAACAGTCAGCTTTTACAAATACACCCCATTGAGGTGTCTTGGTCTTGCACAGATCCAATAAAAGATTTATTGAGCTTTCAACCACTTTTAACGACTACCATATATCTCTTCAAGGCATAAATGCTAAGAACGGGATCTACAAAATAATCTAGAAACTTCGATTAATGTAGCGTAACTAATTATCACTTTATGCATTTAAGCTTTAACTTTTGTCAATCGAAATTATCTGCATACAATCTTATATACACACACAGTCACACTTTTAACTATTTTTACACAACACAAATGTTGGTTTCAACCCAAGATCGATGTTACTTGCAGGTTTTATGGCGGCATATTTATTTGCAAGTCCAGTGCAATTAGCCAATATATTTCCAATGTTTGAAATATCGCGTTACGTGTCACAACTTTAATTGCACACACAAGTAATTTATGTGCAAAACATAAACACATCCAGTTAAATATGTAGATATTAGCTGTTAGCCGTTGCAAAGTACACAGCTTTTTGCAAACAAAGGGGAACAACTGAATTTAATTCGCTCGACTTACCATTTCTGGCTAAGTTATGCATCACTACAGTGTCCAACACCTCAGCGTTCAAGCTGTATATCATGTACGCCGGCGGAAGGTGTGAGCTATAAATATTAAATTAATAAGCTGTCAGTAATCAACGACTGTAATTAGAGAAACAATCTAGTGAGCTGACTTGTCTTTTATTAAGTTCTTATGGGGAAACTAAATGCACACCGTGTACGTGCTACCGAGTAATTTAATGATACAATGTGTATTCAATTAGCGGAGTCACATTGCATGCAGGCAATTGTGAATGCTCGGAGCTATCAAACCGCGCCACTTAGGTGAGTGCGCGACTGAGCGCTCCGCCACCGATGCGTCGCCGCGCCGCGCGTCCTTCTGCTGCACGACAAACTGATGTATCACGCACGACGCCCTCATTAATTCAACGAAGAATTATATCTTCATCGACTACTGTGAGCCAGCGAGCTTCCTCTCTGTAATTATCTCGTATTAGGGACTATTATCGTATACGATGCACTATCAATTTAATGCGACGCCATTTAAATAATCGGCCTTAGACAATAGCCACCGGATTGCACACACATTATTGTACAATGTGAATTTCGCAAATATCCGCGGCATGCATGATGCATGAGCGCCGTGAACACGTTAACTATACCTTACGCGCGGTCCTTGTGTAATAACTGGAAATGCTATGAATTTATCATTATGTGACAGCCGCTTCCACGTCCGACGCTGGTGCGATGCGCGACGACAAGCCGCGTGGAGTCATTTAAATAATTCACAAATTAATGAAACGCTTCTGTGAAGAAAAATACATTTAATTTATTTGCAATACTTCAATGGCCTTTTCAATTCAGGTAGGCGTCCCGCCCTCGAGGCACTCGAAAGCTATTTGCGATTATTTCCGAATTTCATTATTGCGTTATCATTTCGTTAATTACTCTGGCGCGTTGAGGGGTTTGCGGTCTTAATTCTGGAGTTTAGGGTCGATATTTAAGTGCAGCAATGTCGAAAAAGCAAGGAGATGAAAGATGCCGCCACCATTTGTCACTACTTTCGGAACGAGGTGGTGCAGTAAAGTACCGGCCCGCCCTGTTTGCACCTCGGGCCGCGGCGTTTTCTTTTCCCCGCGACCTCCGTCGGAATGCGAGCTTAATGGCTTCGATTTTGAGACCAGAACCAATCACTCCGTCATCAAAATTATGGAAAGATTACGCGAGGCCTGTTTGATGAAAATCGCTGGAGAGCGGACACTGAGGTGGAAAAAGTGAATTAATGTAAAAAGCGAGTGCCATAATGTTTGATAATGGTGTCTGAATACAGTGGGGCGTGCAAAATGTTTACAAAATTATGATGATAAACATCTTTTAATTAAAGTAACTCCTCCTTTCCGTCTTTTTGTGTAGTAATATGGACAAGTTATGATCATCAGAACCAACATATTTATAAAACCCGATTATTTTAAGCCTCATTGTACAACAGCAAAAGTTCGATGTTGAAATGTTCGAGTAATTTACCTGTTCCTAAAGTTGAATTTATTCGTTTACACAAACTTGTGTGCATGCATTCAAGTTTGCGTGTAAACAGAGCGACGTTATAAATAGCAATTAAATAATTTGTGGCACTAATATGTAGATTCGGGTGCGTGGATCTGGCCCTCAGTCGGCCGGCCATTAGACGCAAAACGCCAAATCATTTACAAGAAAGCGAGAACCCGCCTCATACTATTTACATAATTTATTCATCACGACGGCCAAGCGTTGTAACTTGAAAACTTAATACTCTATTTTAGTAACATGCGTTGGTCAGTTTGATAAATTAAATTAAATTGTGTCAATTATAATTTATAATGTAATTATAAAACTTTTGTTCAATATGTATCTCTTTAAGTTTGTAATTGTATAATTATGGAAAACATGAAAAAACAAAAATATTACGTTAGTTGATTAGCACTTTCGGCTTTAAAGTAACTTTTTATCAAATTCCATTCCATTTCCATTATAAAGTAAATCCACTTGTCGTATCCTTATGTCTCTACAGACTCGTCTATGTTACCAGCGGTCAACGCAACAAAACGAGTTGCAACGCTGTTCTAGTGCGGCAGTGATACGATCTTCCAAATATTAAACTAATATTTAGGCAACGCTTTGGCCGCCGCCGCCTCATTTGCATAAGGTGCGGTCTCGTTCCATACTTATACTACTTTCCGTACAACTACTATTACCACGAAAACCATTGTTCATGTTGTTTACTCAATTTAAAATGTATCATTATCATTTAAATTGCAAATTTTAATGATCTTTTGTGGTAATTTTAAACACGTATACACCAAAAATGTTGCTAAAATTAAGACTTAGATAACCTGCCACTTCGAGTATGCCTCAAAGAGCCAATAGACCACCACAGACGGGGCCGTATAGGGCTGATGTTCAGCCATGGTTGCGGGGTTGCGGGTTAAGCGCAATAAGTCACAGCGGCCTCGGCCCAGAGCAGAAGAAGGAACGCGGGGTTTTTAGTCAGTAAGAGACTGACACTTTCTCTCGCCTTACCCTGGGCGGGAGACGTCATTTGATGATTTTTCAGCTGGGGTTGCAGGGGTTATAAGGTACCGCGACCTCGGCATAGAGCAGGAGAAGGAACAGGGGGGTTTTTAGTCAGTAAGAGTCTGACACTCCCTCCTGCCCGGCCCTGGGCGGGAGAAGTCATTTGATGATTTTCCCCTCACAAAAAAAAAGCCTAAGCGTATCATCGGAGAGCTAGTAAAAAGTTTCTATTACCGCGGCGCGGGCAAACGCTTGGTGGGACCGCGGCTTAAGGCGGTCACATGTAGCTGTAAATATCATAATCATAACCCATTAGTCTGTTAATGTTATGTCTTTGCCGGCGGGCTTTGACTCGTGTTTTATTACGCCGCTATTAATTGTGTACGATCCTCTAAAGAATTTCATAAATAAGCCTTTGTTTTCAGCTGTACTCGATAACAGCCTGTGTAAATGTAAAAATGCCTCTTTGCAAAATGTGATTTGTATGCAAAGCTTGTTCGTTGGAATATTTATTTTTGTTTGTGTTTTATCGTTGCTGTGTACCTGAATTCTGAGTTGGTAGAAATATTTGTAAGAGTAAATTATCTGTAGGTATTTTTGTGACACCTTTCATTATAAGTGTAGGAAATCAATGCTTCGGTAGGAATTGGCCGGCTCGACTTGAACAATACCACAGCTCGCAGGGAACTAGGTTGAAACAACCCCATCATTGTGTTCATCGGTGACCTAATCCATCCTTTTGGCTTATTAGCAATTTTTAAATCGAGAATAATTTAATATAAAAAACATACACTCATCGGCACGGCTAGTCATGCACTGATTTTGTTTCTTTCAAAGCTAACAGTTTAGTTTTTAATTTTTAAAGAATACTAAATAAACCTTTGTATTCTAGTTAGTATATCTATTCTAATATTATAAAGAGGTAAAATTTGTAAGTTTGTATGTAGGGGTTAATCTTTGGAACCACTGGTGGGATTCCCAAAATTCTTTCACATATTAATAGCTACGATGTTCCCGAGTTCTACAGGCTATAAAACATCACGCTACAGTCAAATGGAGCCGAGCAGCGAGTGAAACCGCGCGGGAGTAGCTAGTCTTTAATATTTTATTATTCTTAACTAGAATTATTTTAAAACACTTAGATACAGCAATAAACAAATACAAGGACAGAAACGAAAAAACCCGCGGACTTATTCTTTGCATAAATTCAGGTACAACTGGAACAATTACAAACATTCATAAATCTGTCTTCCTACTCAAAATTTATCGTTGATTTGATGATAATGAGGCAATTAGTCGTTCAAGATTAACACACAGACAAAAGACTGCTTATAAAGACATCAAGATGCTTCAAGGTCGGGAATTAAATAAAACAATGGTCATACATAATACATACCAGAACAAGAAAAAAAATACGACTGTTACAACTTACACGTAATACCGGTTAAAATTCAAAATAAAAATTATTTAGGTTTTTTTCCTTTACTTTATACAATACCATTCGGTGCTAATCCGGTTTGGAAGCTATATCGATTGCATATAGAGTCAAAAATGTTTTTTTCTTATAAGTAAGGAGGCCAAAATACAAGAATCGTAGAAAATATATATATATTTTTTTTGTATCATGAAGAGGGAAGTTTAGCAATTCAGCCGTCGATGTTTAGAGGTATGAGAAAACATGGTGGAAAGTTCCGCATCCTCCATTGAAAAGGGATGATCCTCCGACCAGACGGGTGTTGTGTCTGGTGGGCTATACTGCCCGATGGTTGTTGCCGGGATTTTTGTATAGGTTCTAATTGCGATGAGAACTCTTATAGCGCGATGTAGAATCTTGCAAGTGATTGGTGCTGTTGTATTGGTCGGTGAACGAGCAGAAGGATTACCTGATGGCAAGCAATCTGCTCCACTCATGGACACCCGCAACAGCAAAAGAGTTACGAGTTGAGTATGAGGCCTTTCAGGGATAAAGATTTCGGATATTGGGATGGGATGGGGGGAGGGTGGGGAATGGGCCTTTTGTATCTCATTCTCAGACACACAACGCTGTGGTTGTTTCACGCCGGTTTTATGAGAGGCTGTGGTATCACTCCGGTTGACCCGACCATTTCGTGCCGAAACTAGGCTCTCCCACACTTAAAAACGACTTTGTATTGCAAGATTGTGTCTGTATTTTTTTTGTTTTTTGTGAGTGGCATATCGTTGAGTGACTTCTCCTAGGACTGTCAACCTCTTACTTGCAACTACCTTCAACTAACATCAGCCCTATTGGGCCTCATCTGTGTCGGTCTAATGGTCTAATTCTAATCGGGCGACAAGCTTCTCTTTCTTCCTGTCAGACTTGTAGACCCACGCTTACAGTAGCACCTATCTTTATAGGTGGTTAAGGGTTACTTGGAGATTATTTCGTGTAGTGTCGTTACTTTAACAATCTTATTCATAAACTTAATTTAAAGTATAACTTCTAATAGTATAAAAATAAGTATTATTTGAATGATCAATAAAATACGAATGTATTTAATTAATCATTTCAGTTAGTAAGTTTTACGTTAGCACAATCTGCAATTAAGTTTTATTGGTGATCGTTCAAAATGGCGAATTATTTAAACTACATATGTCAATGTTTACAATGAAGGTATTAAAACCGTTAAATATTTCATATTAATTATTCTTTGAAATAATTTGAATTAGTCTTTGGGGTTAAGTAGGATAAAATACAAATAAAAGAACACATTGATTGATACAGAAAGGACATATTTTTTATGTGGAACGGCAATAAGGTACAGCAGAGAAGTTGCAAGTACGTTGCGGGCCTTTTGTGTATGAGATTATGGGGATGGGGAGAAGAAGGGCCTCTAGTAACTCACTTGGTCT